CTATAATTAGTCTCATTATTATTATTTAACAAATATAACAGTGCCAGCAGCTTACATTTAATGAATGGGAGGAGAAAGTTCTCACAGGCTGTGCTAACTTGGAAAGATGAGTGTTAAGTACTTTGAAGGTTGGCTGGTTGACAGTGGCAGAGGTCACTTACTACTTACTCCCAAGCCCTAATGTTAGTCAAAGGCTAATTTATTCCATGGCCTTGAACCCTAACCTTTCTCTGCCTGTTCCCTATTAAAAATTCCAGGAAGCTGTTTAAATGAAGGGTGAGAGGTGCACTGCCCACCAATGGGCTGCCCTCCCAAGATTTCTGCATTGGGCATTCAAGGGTTGGGGGTCAGGGCAGGAGGGGCAGGGGTAGGGCAGCCCTGCAGCCCTCATGTGGGGTCCTGGGCCTAGGGGATTTGGGCATGACCTACTCAAGGTGTGAGCAGCCTGCATTGACCTCAGGGCCTTTCATTACCCTCACAGCAGGGCACACATCCAGAGTGCCTCTCTTGTGTTAGGTAGGGACAGAAGCGTTTCACATGCATTCACTTATTTCACTCTCCGAATCCTGTGAAGAAGGTACTATTGTTGTTCTAGTTTGTAGAACAGGAAACAGGCCCAGGGAGGTTAAGAAATATACCCAAATCAGGCACAGCTGTAATCCCAGAACTCTGGAAGGCTACAGCAGGAGGATCACATCTTTGAGCCTGGCCCAGGAAGCTTAGCAAAACTCTGTCTTAAAATTTAAAGAATAAAAAAAGGGCTGGAGGTGTAGCTCAGTGAAAAGGCCCTGGGTTCAATCCACAGTACAAGAAGGGTGGGGGGAGGATGGATGGAAGGAGAGAAGGAAGGAAGGGAGGAGGACGGGAGACAGAGAGGAAGGAAGGAAGAAAAGAAAAAGAAAGAAAGAAGGAAGGAAAGAAGGAAGGAAGGAAGGAGAGAGAGAGAGAGAGAGAGAGAGAGAGAGAGAGAAAGAAAGAAAAAGAAAGAAAGAAAGACAAACTTGGCCAAGCACACACAGCTACTAAGCAGCAGAGCAGCCTGTAAATCCCAGCCCTCTGGCTCAGGGTCCAGGCTTTGCAGCTGGCTATTTACTATTCTTCCACATCCTAACAGTAGGTGTTAACATTTGCCCCTTTTCACAGGTGAGAAAGCTGGGCCTCACCATACTGGGCCATGCACTTTATGGCATTGTGTGTGGTGCCAGTATATGTCCCTCCCCCGACTCTCAATTTCCCATGCATTCTTCAAGCTGAAAATTCACTTCTGTGTCAAGAGCACCCCAACCAAGCATCTGCTCTGCACTTGGCCAGGGCCCCACCCACTGCAAATTTCCTCTTAATTACCATGGACCCAGGTGGCAGGGGCCCTGCCTGCTCTGCAGCCTGGGACCACCCAGGTTCATCTGGACACAAAGCCTATGCTCTTTCTGCCACCCAGCTAGACACTTACTGTCTTATCCGGCCAACTCTTAGGGGAGGAGAAAAAGCCGGCTATCTGCCTTGGCCTGGACCATAGGGCCAGAGCAGCCTGTGCCTTCTTTGTTGGCGATCACTGGGGCCTTGAGAGTATTTTCTGACAGGGCCTGCTGAGCCGGATGTGGGTAAAAAGGAAGCCATGGAGTCAATGAAATGATCAGGACACAATCATTTCATTCAGTCAGGCTCGAGAGATGCCTAACCAAGAGGTCGTGTCTTCAAAGTAAGAACAGAGTTGAGGAAGGGGGAGAGGCAGCCACAAGGGGGATTCGGTGTGCTGAAGGGCTGCATGGGGGGACCAGGCTCAGGTGCCTGACTGCACCTGCTGCAGCTCTGATATATCTTGGAGAGGCAAGGTATCGGTGTGAACTCATTACTTGCCCTGCAGGGCCAAGGATGTGACTTCAGCAGCCCTGTGCAGAATGACCAGTGCACCTGGGGAGACTGCTCAGGGTCTCCCTGTGTGTCAGACTCAGTGGGAGGGGCAGGATGGGCACTGCCTACCACCTGACCATCCCTGAAGTGTGCCATGTCTGAAGGGCTTGGCCCACGGCGAGGTCTCTTGAACAAGTGATACAACCCATTTATCCCCATGCATCTAGAAAAGAAGTGCTGCTTAGTTCAGGCCGACTCACCTACTTCCATCAGTGAAGACAGTCTAGCTGTAAAGTCCATCAGGCGTCACCCCATCTGGAACCTCTCCCAGGTTCCTAGCATGGAGCCCTTATCCACTGAGTATGTTCTCAAGCCTCCACATCCCAAAATCTATTTGTGATAACAATAATCATACCTATCACCTATTATCAGCATCTCTGAGTCAGGCACGACCTGGTCTGAAGTCTGATGTTAGCATTAGCTTCACTTTACAGGAAAAACAGCCTCGGAGAGAAACAACTTGCCCAAGATCACATAACCAGAAAACAGTAGTCAAAATTTGAACTCAGATCTGCCTGGCTCCAGAAATATAGAACCTCAGGCCAATGACCTCAATGACTGTTCCTAACATTGTCGATGACCACCTCTATTTGTCCTTCTCTCTCAGAATATCTGGACAGACTCCAGAGAGGCCCCAGGGAAGGGGCACATGTCTTGGCAGAATTGATAGATTTCACTCTACCCTTTGGGGTTCCTGTGTCCCTAGCACTTGGTGAGTAAAAGAGAGTAAATTCCCATCAGCTCTCTCTGCCCAGTTCCTGGGTGCCTGTGTATCCTTCTTTCCCAGGGGCCGGCTGGCAAAGGTGGCTCATCTGCTAGCTGCCTGCTCACTGTGATGGAGTTCTCAAGGCCTGTCCAAGGCCACTCTTGGGGGACAGGGGACTTCGGAGCTCACCATGGACTCACTGGAGTGACTGTCAATCTCATTTATTATAACACAAATTATAAAGAGTGCATAATGAGTGCATATATACTTGTCCCTTTGCGTGTTCATATACACTCATTTATACCCTCATAGCAGCCCCAGAATGGAGGATGAATGAACAGGGCCCCAAAAGGCTAAGTGACTTGGACTTGGCTACACAGCTGAAGAGAGAGTGAGGATTTGCACCCAAGTCTTTTGACTCAAGGTCCAGGTTCTTTTCACCATTCTGGTGGCCCATGCTCCACCTGGCTTGGTGACTGGAAAGGGGATGGAAGATTGATATTTAAGACCCAGGCTCTAAGGAATTTTACAAAATGGGTTTAGCTCAGTCCCTCCCAGAAGTGTTTCCCACGATGGTCTGAGAAATAGCTGTGCCCATGCTGAGCAATTTTAGAAACTGTCAGCTTCCCCTACCCATCAAGCTCCAATTCCATGAATATTTGCAAACTGTTTAGAGAGAAGGAGAGGGGAAGCCTTCTCCATCACATTTCCACTTACACTGATAGCACAATCTCCAACAGCTTCGACAAGCTCCACACCAGCCCTGTTTCTCCAGGGCTGATGTGGGAGGCTGGGGTGAGGATCTATATTCCATGCAGGTGTGGCAGCAGCTCCCCACCAGGATCCATGAACTACATATTGAGGTTAAAGAAATGTCTCCTTTTCTCCATCTGACTTGGGAATTCCTCTCTAGGAATCTATTCCTAGACAAAACTTTATGCATAAAGTGATAATGCATTATTTTTAATAGCAAAATCTGGAAACAACCTTTGTCCAACATTAGGAGGAAGATTAAATGAATTAGTGCACCATATCCACGCAATGACTGAAACCATTAAAAATATACTTTATGGCCAGGGATTTAGCTCAGTGGTTCTTTCACCTGACTCGCAAGCACAAGGTCCTGAGTTTGATCCCTGGTACCAAAAAAAATGTATATACTTTATGAAAAAATGTAAATGATACTTATGATATAATATTAAACAGAGAGAGAGAAAGAGAGACACACACAGAAAGATAGACATAAAATTGTATATAAAGGGGGAAAAAAAACAGGAGGAAACATTAGGAGGAAATGAGCCAAGATGTCAATAGAGGCTACATCTACATGGCAAACAAGTCATTTTTTGCCTGCTTTATGCCTTTTTTTTGGATACTGTTCTTTTCTCCCTTATGTTCCTAGGATAATCAGAAAAATAAATTAACAAAGCTACCTAAATCCACCCCCCTCCAGGGGTGGGGGACAGCCAGATATATCACAATGCTGACTGGTCAGGAGGGAAAGGTGGGTCCCACAGCATCTTTCCCACAAAACAAATCCTCGTGGCAGGGCCACACGCACAGGGCCACTCCTTGTATCCCTTGTAAATTTGCCCTCAAGGTTTTCCTGGAGATTTTCATCTCAGACTTGGTCTTCTGGCTCCAGACTCCAGAAGCCCTTGTCTCAGGGGTGAGGAATGGGGGATGAATTTCCTCTCTCTGGCCCCACATACTGCACATCTCAAGGAGGCAGCCAGGGCACGTGCAGCACCTTCTCCTGGGAGCCTCCTGCAGAGAGGAAGTGGTACTATTTGAATTGAGAGCCAGGCCTAGGGTAAGGCCCTGCAGTTTCTCTGAGAGAAGGAGAGGGGAAGAGAAGAGATCACAGGGTTCCAGGTTTTGGAGAATACAGTGGTCAGGAGAGAACAAAGCCAGCAACCAGTGAGGCCACAAATAAAACATGAATAAGCTGCCAAGGCCCTGATGTGTGCCGTCCTGCTATCAGGTAGTATGTGAGAGACACCCCCTGACTCTAGTGGCAGCCCAAGAACCCAGCCCCATCGGATGTGTGTTGGTTTTGCCATGAAGATGCTTCCCATCATCCCCAGTCACGCTCAGGGGGAATGAGGTTATACTCAGTCCTCGGTGTCCGCCAGACATCGGGCCTCCTCCCTGGAACCAAACTTTATCCCTGCCCACATTCCCAAATCTCTCTGCTCTGTAGGGCCAGAGAGAAGCACAGGGTTTCCTTCAGGCTAGGAAGGTTCAGGCACAGGAAGAGCTTAGAGGAATGGATAGAGATGCCCCCAGGCCTGGAGAAATAGGGCTGAACTCTGGAGGTGAAAATAAAGCTGAAAGTGAAATCCCACTCAGCCGCAGAGGGGCAGGGGTCCTGTCCACTCACCGAACATGCTGCCCTCGTAGCCATCCTTGGTGAGCGGGCGGAGCTCGTTCCTTCCCATCGCGTAGCGCCGGTAGCTCTGCCAGGCAAAGCGCATCATCTGCAGGGAGGAGCAGAGGCCAGAGGTCCTGGGTGAGATGATGCCCATTGCACAGGTGGGCAATTGTGGTGCTTCTGCGACAGGAATTCAACTCACACTTTAAAAATGGTCTCCTAAAGCTGGGTGTGGTGGTGCGTGCCTGAAGTCCCAGTACTTGGGAAGCTGAAGCATAAAGATTGAGAGTTTGAGGCCAGCTTGGAAAGCAGAGCAAGTCAAAAAACCAAAGCCTGGGCCGGGGATTTAGCTCAGTGGTTTCACCGCCTGCTATGCAAGCGCAAGGACCCGAGTTCGATCCCTGGTACCAAAAACAACAACAACAACAAAAAAAAACCAAAGCCAAACTACTAAAAAAAAAATGATCTCCCCAATTTTCCAAGTTGAAGAAGGCAACCTGCTCTCACCCGAATTTCACTCAGACAGCACTGGCTGGAAAGCTATTCTTCGCTAACTCCCGAGTCCACAGTCTGTCCAGAGATTTCTCAGAAAAGATAAGAGAAGCACAAACTAAATTCTAGTCATCCACCAATACCAGGTGAAAAGCCACCTCTTCCATGCAGCTGTCCCTGTTTTGCTCTGGTCTAAAGTAATCCCTCAAGGGGGAGGAAACCAACTCACTGACAGGTGAGCCCACCTGCTGTGATCTAAGAGAGCAACCCCTGAGCAAGGACTGGTAACTCCATTCTATACATAAAAAAGCCAAAGACATGAAGTAACTTGCCCAAGATTCCCCAAGGAGTCAGCAAGCGGGCTGGGAATTGAACCCATGCCGCTGGCTCTGAAGCCTTAGGTCCCCTAAAGTGACTGCATGAGGCACTTTGAACTGTTATAACTAGCCTGGTCATTCCTCTAGCATCCCAGGTGGTCATTGTTATTTGTTGCTTATCATTGTTATTTGTTGTTATTTGTTGGACCATGAGCTCCTTGAGGCCAGAAACTGTACTTGCCTTGCCTCAATTTCCCCCAGGGCACCCAGCACAGGGCTTGGCACGTGTAGGTATCAATGAGTAGCTGACGACTCTATCACCCAGTGTGTGTGTGTGTGTGTGTGTGTGTGTGTGTGTGTGTGTGTGTGAGTTCTTACTTTGCAAAAAGCTTCATGCCAGCACCTACCTCCTTTAGGTGAATGTAGTACTAAAGGCCAAAGGACAGGCGAGGTGACAATCTTCCCACCCTACTCCACGCCACACCATGTCACTCCACTCCATTATATCCCATAGTCTCCTTCATTTGCCTGAACAATGTATTGTTTTTGCCTTTGCAGAGCAGGTTTTGGGAGGATAGAATGATGAGCTCTGGGGTGACAGAGTGAGGTGGAGGAGGTGGCCAGAGTTATGTAGTGGAGGCACAGCTGAGGGGCATGTGGCTGGAAAAGCAGCCAGGTGCAGCTGTAAGAACTCAAGCTTTGAGATCGGAGAGGTCTGAGTTCTAATCCCACTTCTGCCGCTATCCCTGGGACTCTGACATGAGACTGTATGTCTCTGAGTCTCAGATGCCTCACCTGAGTTCTGCTTTTGCAATGCACAACAAAGCCTGCTTGACCATGATGCTGAAAGGTTTCAATAAAGAACAATAATGGAAATGCCCTCTTCCTACAGCAAGCGATTGACAATTGCTAGCTCTCTTCCCTCCTCGGCCTTCTAAGGACCTGTCTGGATCTCTGAGTCTCATCTATAACCTGCCCCTTCTGTACTATTAGTTCTCAGATGTTAGCTTGCAGTGAGAATCACAGGGGGATGTGAAAACATATTGGTGACCACACCTCTAAGATTCTGATTCAGCAGGTCTGGGGTAGGACCCCTTCCTAACAAGTTCCCATGTAATGCTGCTGGTTCATGAGCCACACTTGAGAGCAACTGATCTATAATATAGGGTGAGTGTCCCTTATCCAGAACATTTGGGACCAGACGGGGTTATTTCCAGATTTTAGAATACATGCTATACACAATGAGATGTCTTGGGGAGGGACCCAAATCTAAACATGAAATTCATTTGTGTTTTACGTACACCTATACATATAGCCTGGAGATAATTTTGCACAATATTTTTAGTGTGCTTGCATTTCCACTGTGACCCAAAACATGAGCCCAGGTGTGGAATTTTCCCTTTGCGGCATCATATTGCCCAAAATGATTAGGATTTTAGAGGATTTTAGATTTTGGATTAGGGACAGTCAGCTTGTATCTCTGTCTCAATTTCTCATCCCACCTCCAGATACTTCTCCTCCTATCTCCTGGACCATGTTTCCTGCCCCAGTGGCCCTCTTCCTAGGATAGCTCCGTTTGTATTCATTACGGACAGCTCCTCCTGGTGCCCAGGCTTAGATGCCATCTCTTCCAGTCACCGTGGACAGAAGCCACAGCTGTACTCCCTGACCAGCAGGCAGACCCAATGGGAGAATGGCCTGAACGCTCCATGAAGTGGCAGAATAGTCTAGTACCACCTCCCTATTTCACAGATGAAGAAACTGAGGCTCCAGGATGGACAGTGGTCAGGGTGGCACAGCTAGCCAGGCTGAAATCCAGCTCTTTTGTCTCCCAGGGCAGCAGATCCCACCTCACACTCAGCTGGCACAGGGCTTCCCATGCGACACACATGCAAATGTCATGGTAACACATGCCAAGTGCTTGGCACTGGCTTTGAGTCCCAGTTCCATTCCTCTGTTATTTTCTACTTATCTTGAATTGGCAATAACGGGAAATAATTGCTGGGTACAAGTGCTTGAGGCAGACTGGCCTCCTCCCTCAGTCTCTCTCATCTGGGGGCCAGGAGCAGGGTGGGAGGGTAGCAGCAGGCTGCTAAAATGTAAGTGACAGTAGATAAGCAGAGGTCTGGGGTGCAGGGGGATCACACTGTACTCTGAAAACGCCCCCCCGCTTAGAGAGAAGTGGGTGTTCATGGATAATTATGGGAATCATAGGTATCTACATGGTCTCAAAGGAACTGTCACTGTGGGTATATAGAGATGTTTGGAACACAGCCCATTTTCTCACAGCCATCCACATCAATGAAGGGGACCGAAGGCACGAATAATCCACATCACCCAGGACTGGATTCCAGAGGCAGTCAGGCATGCCTTGGCCTGCAGACCCTCACGCTGGTCACAGGTGATTCAGCGCAGTTGCTGGATGAGCAGGGGATGGGGAGTCCCTGGTCAGACAGTCCTTCTCCCTCTTCCAAACACACCCTCCCTCAGCAAGCACCTGCTGGCTCCTGTCCTGTGCTTGGGCCGCAGCTGGGGCTCAGCCATGGTGAGCATGCTCTCCCAGCCCTACTCTCTCCCTCCCTTCCAACTGGTCATCTTCCTTCAGGTTCAGCTAAATGAAACATTTCCAGGGAGGCCTCCTCCCCAGCCACTCCTAAGTCAGTCTGGAAATCAGACTCCTGCCCCACATTCCCAGTGCACAGTGCCATGGTGGCCCACTGTCAGCCTGTTATACCCACAGCCATCAGGTCAGGATCAGCACCCCAGCCTTATTCACGGCTGCATGTCCTACCACTCACCCAGGCACCAGCCCAAGGGAAGTGCTCATTAAGTATTTTCTGAATCAATGTTAAGAACAAACAAGAAAATTGGACCTACACGTGGCCAAGAGACTCAAAGTAAACCATGTGCAACATAGGTAAGACAAGAATAGGTAAGATATGAACAGAGCTCAGAGGCACTAGGAAGGGGAAAGTGTATCTCAGGGAAGCTTTGTGGGTCCTAAAATGTTCTGATGGACAGAGAGGACTGTGAGAGCCACAGGAAGATAATGAAAGGGTAGTATTTTCATTGTGGAACTGGTGACATGCTGCAGGTGACACCTGCACTTGGTATTATACATAGATAGTCCCTGATTTAATGCTCAGGCAGTTCTAAGACCTCAGAGTTCACCCAGGCTAACCCACGTCCCTTGGAAGTTTCATAATAGAGGATTAAGTGGTCTCTTTTTTAAAAGCCAAAGTGACAGAGTTCTCACCACCTTACCAGGGAGCCTGATCAATTACAGAGTCTCACCAAGTTCTTCTTAATTAATCCAAATCTGTTTTCCCTGTGGGGCCAAAAGGGAGACAGCTCATCCTGCTTCCATACCACAGATCGGCAGCCACAGGGAACAACTGTAGGCTACCAGCTCCAACAGGTCCCTGGGGCCATTAGGGTGAAGTATCAACTTGATTGGGTTTGGATCTACCCATGGATTGGTAGAGTACACTTCTGGTTGTGTCTGGGTAGGTCATGGAGGCAGAACCTTGGGATCTATGTCTGGTCTTTCACTCCTTCCTCTTTGCAGCTCTCCTGCTCTGCTTTCCAGCTGCCATGAACTAAGCAGCTTTGTTCCACCACACCCTCCCACCATAATGTTTCCACGTTGGAGTCAGCAGACCATGGACTGAATCCCCTTAAAACATGAGCCAAATTAAACCTCTCCTCCTTTAAGAGGTGGGTATTGGGTATTGTGTCCAGCAATGGGGAAGGTGACTAACATAGTCTCCAGAATCTTCTGTGCTCCCTCATGGTACCCTCTGAACTTGCAGACCTGTACAACATACAGTAACATTCTTCCAGGTGCACCAAGGCTTTGTCACCCATTTGTTGAACTTGGCTATCCTTTTGGTAAGGAGCAGAAACCAATGTGCAAACTTGCCTGGTTATATCTGTAATAGATCATGCAGAAGTGGACTTGCCATTTGTCCCTAATGACGTCCATCTCATTGGACTCTGCCTGCCATCCTATGCTGTCAGGATCTTGCTGGAACCAGATCTTTCCAGACACATGTGTGCCTGCCTGTTTTGGGTAATGGGCAAATTTAACAGACTGCCATCTGTCTCCCACCATGTTCTGGACAGAAGCAGAAGTGACCAGGCTGTGGATGAAGCCTGAAGCAGCTGGAGGGTCTCTCCCGGACTTAGTACCACTCACTGACTGTCATCCGTCCTCACGCAAGACATCCGCCCAATGATTAGCACAACCTCCGTTTCTCCATTTTTGTACATGACAATACTGTGAAAGACAGGGCTG